ACATCAGATTTGTGAATTGATGTTCAAGTATCTGTCAGTGTAAAGGTCACAATTTATTAGACAGCCCGAGACCTTTTTAAAAAAACGCTGAGGAGTAAAGTCCCCGATACACAGTTGACTAGTTGCTATGGGCAGCAAATGAAATAAATGTTCTCTATAACTAGACAACCAAAGGTTATCCACAAAAGGTTAACAGCACTCTCTCAACCCTGCAGCAAGTAGCTTCTTCCTTCTCTAGAGATCACATAACCTTCCTCCAGGAGGCAAGCCTCGTTCTGAGGCTACTCTAGAGATCACATGACCTTCCTCCAGGAGGCAAGCCTCACTCTGAAACTTTACCCCCTGATATCTTACCGGAAAGGTTTACTCAGAGTGAAGCTTTCAGGGAGAAAATGCCTCTCTCGCGGACATCAGGGAGCTGCTGTCCAAAAGAAGGAGACTCCCTGAACATCAGGGAGACTTGAGATCCCTGAGACGTCACCCACCGGGATATCATCACATGTGCGTAATGACATCATGCACACTTAACTGCTGGTGGCCATCTTGGTGATGGACGCCAGCAGATAAAGGAGGGGATGTTCATCTGGCGGGATAAGGTATGCCGCCGGGTCCCCTTCTCTCTCGTACAGCTGTTGGGCACTTGGACCATGACCAAGTGCCCGACTTTTGTGAGGGGGTGACACCAAAATCATTTTGGTGTTACCCCCTCCAATGGTGTCACGCGGTGCGGGTTGCTCCCCCCTTGTGACGCCAATGTACCCATGACAACTGTTAAAGAGGGGATTTTCTTCACATTGAAAAGCTATCCTCTCACTTCCTGTTTGATCTACACAGTACAGGAAGTGAAATGAAATCTCCCGAACAAGGCAATATACCACTGTGAAGGGGACCGGAAAATGCCAAGCTGTAGTGTTGACATTAGCAACCAGCCTCATATCACTGACCAGGCAGGCATAGGGCCTACAAATGGAGCCATTGTTTTGCCATTAGCAACCAACCAGACTCCATTACTGGGCAGGCAGAAATGAGGATTGTTCTATTTATTTTTCCGACCCAAAGGGGGATTTTGCTGGTCGTGGCGCCTCAATGAGTGGGCTAATTTATTTTTACTAATTGGGTTCTAATGAGAATATAGTGGTGTTATATGCTCATTTTACATACAAGTGCCCAGTGAATAACTTGCTTTGTATACAACGATACAACTCAATGGCCTGCTCAACCTAAAAGATGTCCGTTCACAGCACGAGCGGCGACATTTTAAACACACGCAAAGCACGTCACACGTTCATATCCAGGAAGAGGCGTGTCCACCTCTGTGTGCCGTACACCGGGATTCGCGAGTTTCCCCGTAGCCCCCCTGACGTCACTTCCCGTTTTCGGAGAAGCTCGCTTCTGGTGTCTGCTGAAAGTGTTTGCGGGCTGCTCGGAGCTCCCATCGGCTGCAGGATGTCCCGCGGCTCTATCGAAATCCCTCTGCGGGATACGGACGAGGTGAGCGCCTGAAACCCATCCACGGCCTGACCCCCTTCCTGTGCCATAACCAGTGACCCCCCCATATCCACCCTCTGCCAGACCCCCAATATCTCCCCACTGCCTGACCTCCTTTTTGGGCGACCTCTGACACCTCCCCAGTTTGTCTCCCTGCTGCGCAACCTCTGACACCCCCCCTCCCCGAACGTCTCCCTCTACTCTGGCCCCCAATATCTGCTTGCTGCCTGATCTCAACCCTCAAATATCTACCCAGTCTGTGACCTTTCAACCCCACTTCCTGCTCACTGCCTGACTAGGGACTTCCAATGACCTATTACCCAAATTACCCAACCCTTGTCCGACTTGTGACCCTCCAATACCTCACCAGTATCTGCACCCAGTGCCCATCCCCCTGTCTGAGAAATGACCCCAGTACCTGACCCTTAACACCTACTCTTTTCCTGATCTCTAAACGCAGATATCTACCCACTGTGTGAACTCTGACCTGCAGTGTTCTTCCAGCCTGACATCTCTGATCCCCTATATCCATTTCCTGATCTGTAACTCCATTACTATCAGATCATTGACCCCTTTACCCCCCCCCGCCCCCCCCGATACCTAATTATGACTGATGTCTGACCCCCCAGAACCCATGTACTGCTTGGCCAGTGATGCTCCCCCCGCTTTTCTTTCCCATATCTACAGTTCCTAATCTCTGATTTCAAATGCCTACCTGACCCCAGTACCCGCCCAGTAACTTACCTTTTCGTCTGATCTCAGATCTTCATAAACTTAGCACCCCAAAACTCAAAGCTCCGACGTGAACCTGCTCAGACCATGCACAGCAGACCTGAACCTTTCTGACCTCCAGTGACCTGGACCTACACTCACCCCTCTTTGTATCTCTCTCACAGGTCATCGAGCTTGATTTCGATCAGCTTCCAGAAGGAGATGAAGTTATCAGTATCCTGAAACAGGAGCACACTCAGCTGCACATATGGATTGCCTTGGCGGTCAGTATTTTATCACACTGCTCTGCTGTTTGCTCTCCTCAAGTGCGCTCCTCACATCGGCCTCTGTACCAGAACAATAGAGGAAGATGCCCTTTAGGATCTCTGGTGGCCGCCATCAGCGCTGAGGTTGTGGTTTGAGGCCGCACCAGTAAGGAGCTTACACTCTAATGTCCCCACCTGCAATGGGCCACGTTGTGTAATACTGTTTCTCTTTCTCTCTCCAGTTGGAGTATTTCAAGCAAGGAAAGACGGAGGATTTTGTGAAGCTGCTGGAAGCGGCTCGCATAGATGGCAACTTGGACTACAGGGACCACGAGAAAGACCAGATGACTTGTCTGGACACTTTGGCGGCCTACTATGTCCAACAGGCTCGCAAGGAGAAGAACAAAGACGGCAAGAAGGAGCTGATCACACAGGCCACGCTGCTGTACACGATGGCCGACAAGATCATCATGTACGACCAGGTGAGTGATTCTTGGTTCCGACAGCTTCACAGTTTTGCAGGTTGATTTATCCACATGGGGGGGGGGGGGGGTTTAGGGGTTCTTGGCTTAGGTTCTACAGTTCAAGCAAATGGTAACATATCCCAATATCTGCAAGGGAAGCAATTCTGCTTCTCTTGCAGATATTGGGATATGTTGTCAACTGTCCTTTTTATAAGGAGTTAGAAAGGTTCATACACATGGAGGGCTGCATATCTACCTAGGAAAAAGACTCTTGCATCAAATTCAACTTTGAGGGCTAGTTCCCACCAGCCTCAGTGCGTACCGGCCAAAATCGGGCCGGGAAACACAGGCTGGTGTAAAGTAGCTGTAAACAGAACCGGTTACATTGCATATTCATGCTCTTGATAGGGAACCCCCACCCACTTCTCGCGCTCTGTCGCCGCTCCATTGGCCCCTGTATTTCTGTGTATGGATAGGTATGTGATTTGCCCCCCTTTCCTCCATGATGCAGTTCTCTGGGCAGATTGGCCGATGGCTAGGCCTGAATATTGTCACAAGGGAAGCCTCATTGGGCAAAGTGACACATTAAATTTTAACTCCCAAAATTTTGGGCAAAAGGAAGGTAGAATAGAACCCCCTTGGACACAATAACTGTATCGAGGTGTAGCTGTGGGCCCACATAGTGGGGAGGGGGTTATAGCATGCCCGTTTATCCAAATGGAGAAGCAACTTGTTCTATTGGGCACTTGTGAAGGGTAGTTGCTAAGTTAACACTGGGTAGCGGTATGCTCTGTTCTCCACATTAATAACTTGTATTATCACTACTGATGATTGTGATTTTTGTTTTACCCAGAACCACTTGCTGGGAAGAGCCTGCTTCTGTCTCCTAGAGGGAGACAAGATGGACCAGGCTGATGCCCAGTTTCACTTTGTGCTTAACCAGTCTCCTAACAACATCCCAGCCTTGCTCGGTAGGTGATTAGGGTGACTGTTTTATTTGTACACCGTGGTGTGCTCTGGAATCCTGTTCTTCATAAGCAATGTTTCTTTGCAGGAAAAGCTTGTATCTCATTCAACAAGAAGGACTACCGAGGGGCCCTTGCCTACTATAAGAAAGCCCTACGCACCAACCCCGGGTGTCCAGGTGAGTGGAGTACTATATATTACCTGCTGCTGATGGCTTGTAGCATTCTTCCTCCCTTCATTGCCCACTAATGGGGGGCACTCTGCCATTTTATATACAATGAGGGGAGTTTATCAAAATCTGGAGCAGCTGTGCATGGCAACCAATCAGCTTCTCTCTTTCATTTTCAAATCTTAACTGATCAAACTGAAGAGAGAAGCTGATTGGTTTCCATGGGCTGCTGCTCCAGTTTCTATAGATTCCCCCCCAATGTGTTCTGGGTGAACAATGTTGCGGGTGACGCCCCAGTGGCCAATACTTCAAACGGGAACATTGGTGACCTTTTTGGGGTCACTGTGCAAGCTGCTTTATTTGGTAGCCATATGATGATGTCACCTTTTTTATGTGACTTTGTGCCTGTGCATGGTGTTCCTGTGAGATGTTGGGGTCCCCTGTCTCCTGTTGGTGGTTTGTAGTTTGTCAAGTGTTGAACATCCGAAATGTACAAAGCTTTCTGTGTGCATTGTATTGTCTGATATGAATGTTTTGTGCTCCTGCAGCTGGCGTTCGCTTGGGCATGGGCCACTGTTTTGTAAAACTGAATAAGCTTGACAAGGCTCGTCTGGCCTTTGGTCGTGCTCTGGAGCTTAACCCGAAATGTGTCGGAGCCCTTGTGGGCTTAGCCGTCCTTGAGCTGAACAACAAGGAGGTAAGTGGCCATATGGTCTTATTGTTGTATACAGAAGCCTTATATGTGGCATTTATATTCTAGATAGGAGCACATAACCAGGCAGGATGAATATCACCTAGTACATACTTTTTTTTGTTCTTTTTTGTATGCTTTTTGTTTTCTTTAGTGAACCAAAATTTGCAGTTTATTTATATTGTGTTTTCCCGCAGGCCGATTCTATTAAAAACGGTGTTCAACTACTATCAAAAGCGTACACCATCGACCCGAGTAACCCTATGGTGCTCAATCACCTGGCCAACCATTTCTTCTTCAAAAAGGTGAGACACTTTGAGGTTATTGTTCTTGCCGAGTAAATTATGTCACTATGCCCGATTTTACGAACTGCCTTAAAGCGTATTTCCACTTTTGCAGGGAAATTTGAGAAAACCCCACTATATGTGCGATTTCTAACACGGCATATCGCCGCCCCCCCACCCCACCTTCCTTTCCTCGTCGATTGCTTCACATTGAGCTGTAATTAAAATATGGATAATGAAAATGAGTTGCTTTGCCACGTTACTAATTGGGTTTTCTCCTGTAGGATTACAGCAAAGTGCAGCACTTGGCCCTCCACGCATTTCACAACACGGAAGTTGAAGCTATGCAAGCTGAGAGCTGCTACCAGTTGGCCAGGTCATTCCATGTACAGGTAAGATGGTGTGGTCAGAGTTCTGATGCTCACCAGTGAACTAATTTAGGGTAAACAACCCCTGTCGGCACCCTTTTGGATAGCATCCCTTGATCAGCTGATTGAAGGAGCCGATCGGAAAATCTTGTAGCGAACAGTGCCAGTGTAGCAGCCAATGAGCTGGTGGCTGCCGTCAGAATGCATTGCATGCAGCGGGAGGTTCCACGAACAAGCTCTTAAAGGAGAACTATGAGGGGAGTGCTTTTCACTCACCTCATAGTTCTATCCAACCTGTGACAATGAGACTGTCCACAGGTCGGCTCAGTAGATCGGGAGGTGAGCGAACACATACTGGCGTTCGCTCACCTTGCGATCCTGTCACGGCTCTCTGCCGTGACAGGGGAGGGGCTGGATTCCCCCCGCTCCGATCCGCCAGCGCTGACTGGTGGATCGGACGTGGGGAGGAGGCGGCTACAGCTGGCTCTGCCTCTAGATAGGCAGAGCCTGTCAGTCACGCAGCTGGCAGATCCCGGCATAATTGTCGGGATCCGCTTCAGCTGCGGCGTCTCAGTATACCGCGAGCAGCAGATTGCGGTATACTGAGCCTAGGGTGACGGGAGGACGCTAGTTTGTGTGCTCCCGTTACCCTAAGGAGAACTATGGGGAAAAGACTTAACCTCATAGTTCTCCTTTTTAAGCATTGATGGAGGAATCTGTAATATCTTTCCGCCCACGAGTTGAAAGCAGCAAATATTACAGTGTATGACCAGTTTTAGATCAGGGATAGCCAAATCTGGGGCCTCCAGCTGTTCCCATAAGACAAGACTGACAGCCACAGGTATGACTCCCAGAGACATATGCATGATGGGATTTTGTAGTTTCACCGCAGCTGGAGGGCTGAAGTGTGACTACCCCTGTAAGCTCCTATATGGCAGGGACTGATATGAATGGTACAGTATGTAAAGTGCTGTATAAGTTATTAGCGCTGTTTAAATGCCTGTAATAATCACACTTGTGTTGTCTCTCGTATCCAGGAGGACTACGACCAGGCATTTCAGTACTACTATCAGGCCACGCAGTTTGCAGCAGCCTCTTTTGTGCTGCCGTTCTTCGGCTTGGGCCAGATGTATATTTACAGAGGTGATAAGGAGAACGCAGCACAGTGCTTTGAAAAAGTCCTGAAGGCCTATCCCAATAACTACGAGACCATGAAGATTTTGGGCTCCTTGTACGCCGGCTCTGATGATCAAGAGAAACGCGACACGGCAAAGGTTTGTCTGTGCTCTGCATGCGCTGTAAGCAGAATTTGTATGATCATGTGACCTCTGTATTAATAATGCCATCTCCCATGCGGTGACAGAGCCACCTGAAGAAGGTCACGGAGCAGTACCCTGACGATGTGGAGGCTTGGATTGAGCTTGCACAGATTTTGGAACAAACGGACATACAGGTGAAGATGGCTTTCTTTGTTTTTATTGCTCCTCTAGTGTGTAGTTTTGTGGAACTAACCGTTTTTGTTTTCTTTATAGAATGCCTTGTCTGCGTACGGTACAGCCACGCGGATTCTGCAGGAGAAGGTGCAGGCCGACGTGCCGCCGGAGATTCTTAATAACGTGGGCGCTCTTCATTTCCGCCTAGGGAACCTGGGTGAAGCTAAGGTATCATCCTTTTTACATTTTTTTTTTTTTTATTGAGTTTTGTAACAATTTGACACTGATGATGATCACAGGTAAAGCCTTACACATTGTGTATAATCATTTGTTACATTCATGACGTTCTTAATAGCAGGAAAAGTATTAGTATGCGGTCTACAAATAGATATATTCACAAGTTAAAAATTACAGTACATGAAATAATCCATTATTGGTGAGGCTCTGTTAGTGTGCAGGGAAAAGAGATCCTATTGTCCTTTAAAGCTAAATTTTAAATATTTTCGTCAATGGCCACAAAGGATATAATTCCACTGTGTGTGCCAACTGCCTTTGCAAACATGCTTATTGCCTTGTAAAAGTAGCATGTACATCATCACTGGGCTGTACATAGCCTGTGCAGAGAGCAGAGCTATAAGCGAGGACCCAGCAGGCACCACCCACTACAGGCTGCCTGCAGAAAACAAGAGGGGCTGGAGACCAGACCAGTTACGCTGCACAAGGAGAAAGGGCAGCAGTGACCGCGGTCTTTATTACAGGAGGGGGGCGGAGACGAGACCAGCCACCCTGTTCAGGGAGAGAGAGCAGCAGTGAGCGGTCTTTATGACAGGAGGGGGGCGGAGACAAGACCAGTCACCCTGCACAAGAAGAGAGCAGCAGTGAGCGGTCTTTATTACAGGAGGGGGCGGAGACGAGATCAGTCACCTTGTACAAGGAGAAAGAGCAGCACTGACTAGTCTTTATTACAGGAAGCTCCAAGTCTCTCACAGATCTGGTAGAAATGCACAAAGCTCACCAAGATTCAAGAATAATACACATGACTCTTGTATGAGGACAATATTTGCTTATCTCATAGTTGAATATTTATTTTTACTGTTAATTTATAAGAGGACAACACTTTCCACAGTGCTGCACAAAGTAAGGGGTATAGCAAAAATATTCTAGGTGAATGCATGCAGTTAAAGACAAGTGATCAGGTTGGAGAGAGAGATTGTAAATCAATTAAATCTTTTGGAAAGTTTTTTTTGAGTTATGTTTGAAAACTTAGTGGGGGCCTAATGGTGTATAGAAGGGAGTTTTAAGGAGAAGAAGCAACACATGACATGTTTGTGAGGTGTGGGGTGACCAGGGAGGAAGAACAATTTAATATCTCTTGTATTTGGCTTTCATAGCAATCAAAGTGAATAGGACGGAGCTTGCATGTCTAAATATCAAAGTGTAAGAGTTGGTGGCAATACTGTTTTGTAGAAATACTTCTTGGCCTCCTTGGACCGCGCCAAAGCAGAAGCCGAACACGATGAACATTATTACAGCGCCATCTCCGTCACCACCACTTACAACCTGGCCAGGTTATTCGAGGCTCTGTGCGAATTTCACGAATCGGAGAAACTCTATAAGAACATTCTGAGAGAACATCCAAACTACGTGGACTGTGAGTGGCGGCCTAGCTGGTGTCATGTACTGTAAATCTCAATGTGAACTCCAAATTATGATCGTATGCTAATCCTGGACAGACGGCGAGCTGTTGAAGTTGTAAAAGGGGAAAAACTTTACATCTACTCTACTGTGCAGATATAGGTAGATAGTGGCATTTACAATATGGGGTAAACCCCAAGCCGGTATCTCCAAGGAAGTTGCAGTGATGAGTTCTTTAGGGGAGATCATGGAAAGCATAGAGTAAGAAGGGAGAGATGGCAGTCATTAGGCAAACTAACTGGAATAAGCAATGGTTGTAGTGCTCAAAATCTGTAAATGATAAAGGCACTGTAATCTGACCGGCAGTGCCGTAGGGGAACATGGAGCCGGCTTCCCGTGCGATCAGGAAGCGGCGGCGAGTAATGACCTGCCTCCCGGCTTTCTGATTGGCCGAGAAGCCGGCTTTCCAGCCAAATCAGGAATTGGGGAGGTGGGTTAGTATTCACCACCGGATTCCTGATTGGTTGGGAAGCCGGTTTCCTGGCCAGTCACAATCAAGCCAACCAAACTGCAGCGGGGCGGTGGGTAAATTACTTGCCGTTCGGCTTCCTGATTGCCCAGGAAGCCAGCTCCATGCCAGCGGAAGCACCGGTATTGGTATTTGGTATCAGCGAGTACCGAAAGCAAAGTATTGGTATTCGCTACCAAAAAAACAGGTATTGGTGCATCCCTAGTTTATTGATCTCTAGCAGTGTAAGACTTTGCTGTTGTAGCCATATCTGCACGATACAGTGCCATAGACTTCTATAGGGCTGTGTCTTGAGGCCAGAGATGTTCAGAGACAGTCCCATAGTGGCTGTAAAGCATAGTCGCGGCCAAGAGAATGAAAACTTGTGGCACTGGAGAAGGGGTTTGTTTTACAATGCACTTACCATTTAAAGCAGAACTTCATCATGGCTATGCAACTATGCAGCCACTACCCCACACCCCCCTCCCCCCAGTTCTCCAAAACACATTGCAAATACCATAAAGTTTGGTCTAAATTTGATCCCTGGAATACTTCTCTAATTTGGGACATCGTCTGCCAAAGGCAGGAACTAAATGGCAGCCTCATGGCATGCAGCTGTGTTAGGTGGGCTGCCACTCAGGGACGGCATGATTCAGTTCTCTATAGCGGTGGTTAGACAGGTGACATTGGCATGGGTGCAACCAGGGTGTTGTCTGTTTTGTAAGTCAATCCAATAGCTAGGATGATGCTGGGAACAGATACCATTCAATGGAAATGGACATTAGATGGCCTACATTGGGGGTCGGGGGGGCAGTTGTCTTATAGTGAAGCCATGAGGGATGGAGCTGGCTGTCTAGGCATCACAACAGAGAGCACAGAACAAAATAAGGCAAAAAAGTGACCAATTGTAGTTTTTAACGATAATTGGTGGGAGAAGAATGGGGGTAAAAGTTGATCAGATCGAAAATCGTGTATTCTTTAGCCAAACAAGATCTTTATCTCCATCAGGTTATTTGCGTCTTGGTGCAATGGCTCGAGACAAAGGAAACTTCTATGAAGCTTCAGATTGGTTTAAAGAAGCCCTGCAGATTAATCAGGTACACTGATATTCCTAGACAGGTCTCCATCTTGTGGTCAGGCTGCGATCTGTGAAGTGACTGTATTACTTGTTCCTGCGTTTTAGGATCATCCCGATGCCTGGTCTCTGATCGGGAACCTGCACTTGGCCAAGCAGGAATGGGGCCCGGGACAAAAGAAGTTTGAGAGGATTCTGAAGCAGCCGTCCACACAGAACGACACATACTCCATGTTGGCTCTGGGCAACGTTTGGCTGCAGACTTTACATCAACCGACCCGTGACAGAGAGAAGGTATTCACAAAGCTTTGTGCGACGTCACTGTCCATCATGGAAGAATCCTGGGGAATGCAGTGCAGGCAACATCTCATAAGCAGACACTCCAGACCATTGCAAGAGCATCCCATGAGTCTGCTCTGTATTCCTCAGGAATCTTCCAGGAAGGAGTGACATCATCCCCGCACAGGCACCGCGGCTGGAAGAGGCATAAGCCCTAACCATTTTTCTTTTATAAGTTCATTTACACCTAATAATGGGAGGGCAAGGGAGCCCAGACAATGGAAGCAGACCTTAAATTTTACTGCAAGGTCCACTGTAAGGATTTCAAAGTCAGCGTGCATAATTTACTGTAGGAAGGCTCCTCGTCTGTTATATATGTTGTGGATTTTCATGTGGGGTTTTTTTTTTTTTTCCCCCATTTAGGAAAAGCGCCACCAGGATCGTGCATTGGCAATATACAAGCAAGTGCTCAGGAATGACTCCAAGAATCTCTATGCAGCAAATGGAATTGGTAGGTCTCGGGCTCTGTGGTTCTGTGCACTGTGTAGGTCTCTGCAGCCAGGTGGGTCTTCCACAACATCTGAGCCATGATCTATTCTCCACCTTTTATTTAGGAGCTGTCTTGGCACACAAGGGCTATGTCCGTGAGGCCCGCGATGTCTTTGCCCAGGTCAGAGAGGCTACGGCAGATATTAGCGATGTCTGGTTAAACCTGGCACATATCTACGTGGAGCAGAAACAGTTCATCAGTTCTGTGCAAATGGTATGTTGGGTGAAGTCTTGGAAGACCGTGCGGCATCAGATGCTATAAAATGATTGTCTCTGCCAATAATTGAATTGGTTTTAATAACTTGCTCTCTGCTTCCCCCCTCTCTTCCCCCCTCTCTCCCTCTCTTCCCCCCTCTCTTCCCCCCTCTCTCCCTCTCTTTCTCTCCCTCTCTTCCCCCCCTCTCTTTCTCTCCCTCTTTCTCTGTCCACCTTCTCTCCCTCTCTTCCCCCCCCTCTTTCTCTCCCTCTCTTCCCCCCCTCTTTCTCTCTCTCTCTCTCCCTCTCTTTCTCTCCCTCTCTCCCCCCCTCTCTTTCTCTTTCTCTCCCTCTCTCTCTTTCTCTTTCTCTCCCTCTCTTTCTCTTTCTCTCCCTCTCTTTCTCTCCCTCTCTTTCTCTCCCTCTCTTTCTCTCCCTCCCTCTTTTTCTCTTCTCTCTCTTGCTCATCGCTCGCCTGCTAGACCATTAAGGCCGTTCACAAACGGCCATGGACGTAAGGTAGTTAAACAACTCTTATGTGCATTATTTGCATTCCAATAGTCACATTAACAAGCACTGTCCTCTCTTGTTAGTATGAAAACTGTCTGCGCAAGTTCTACAAACACCAGAACACCGAGGTCCTGCTGTACTTGGCCCGAGCGCTGTTCAAATGCGGCAAGCTGCAGGAGTGCAAGCAGATATTACTGAAGGTAACAATTTGTCCGTATCTCGGCATCTCCTGGTCATTTTGATATGCATTCTTACTGAGCATAATCTCTACTTATGTAGTTTTTTTTTTTACATTTTGTGCTCAGTCTGAGTTGCCCACATTTAAGACCGGTTTATTTTAATGCTGATTTGTCTCTGGCTTCCTATAAAATGGGCAGTCTGCACTGGTAATGGGTTACTTGCAGTGCCGGAGGTAAGTAGCAGCATGATCTCCTAGGCACATATTATGAGACTCGGTAAATTATATTTGTTCCCAGGATATCCTGTGGACAGCATGTTGCAGCTTGTTGTACTTACATCACATCCATTTAAACCACAGGCTCGGCACGTGGCGCCCAACGACACTGTCCTTATGTTCAATGTGGCCCTGGTGCTCCAGAGACTAGCAACGTCCGTACTGAAGGATGAAAAGAGTAACTTGAAGGAAGTATTAAACGCTGTAAAGGAGCTGGAACTGGCACACAGGTGAGGCGGATGTCTTGAATAACAATAGAGACCTGTATGCCGTACACTATAATATACCTTCATTGTCATGAGGCTTTTACGATATAAGGTGATGGGGACTCATCACTACTTGGCTCAACAGCTTTGACTTATTTCTGCTCCACAGGAGCTTACACTCCAATGCCCCCACTGCATTCATACAGTCCAAATGTATCAAAATCAATCACTATACTTGTCCTTCAAACTGTATGTGAACCCTGACAATGGCCTTCTCTTATTTGGTCTGGTAAATGTATTTATGTTAATGGAGAACTATGAGGTAAGTGCTTTTCACTCACCTCATAGTTCTAGCCGACCTGTGACAATGAGACTGTCACAGGTCGGCTTAGTAGATCGGGAGGTGAGCGAACACATACCGGCGTTCACTCACCTCTCGATCCTATCACAGCTCTCTGCTGTGACAGGGGGAGGGGCTGGATTCCCCCCTCCCCGCTCCGATCCTCCAGCGCTGACTGGCGGAACGGACGGGGGAGGGGGCGGGTAAAGCTGGCTCTGCCTTTTAGATAGGCAGAGCCAGCTGTCAGTCACGCAGATGGGCGGATCCCGGCACAATTGTCGGGATCCGCTTCAGCTGCGGCGTCTCAGTATACCGCGAGCTACAGCACGCGGTATACTGAGCCTAGGGTGACGGGAGGACGCTAGTTTGTTTCCTCCCGTTACCCTAAGGAGAACTATGGGGAAAAGACTTAACCCCATAGTTCTCCTTTAAGTCAGATAATGGGAATCACACTCTGACAATGAATCCCCTCTTCTAATTGTGGCAGCCGCCGCATCCAAGGACTGGTCAGCTGCAATATTTTTATATTTCGCTTCTCGGGTGCAGATGCAATATTGTTACATTTTTATTTTCTAGATATTTCAATTACCTGAGCAAAGTCGGTGATAAGATGCGCTTCGATTTGGCTCTCGCTGCCTCGGAAGCCAGGTATGTTAAACCACCTTGTTTTGTCCTGTAATCTTATGCATTGGCTGTGAGAATAAGCGGCTATAGACCACTGACCATATCGTGTGTCGTTGTCCCGCATTGCAGGCAGTGTTCCGATCTCCTGAGCCAGGCGCAGTACCACGTGGCCCGTGCCCGTAAACAAGACGAGGAGGAGAAGGAGCTGCGGGCCAAACAAGAACAGGAGAGAGAACTCCTGAAACAAAAGCTTCTAAAACAGCAGGTGGGTGCCAACTGGCATTTTTGTACTGATATGATGCATTATGGGTATTTCAATGTTTGACTCCGGATGATGCAATAGTAAATGCAGAGCCCAGATTCTTAATCGGGATGAAAGATTTGTCCTTTACATGTTTCAGTAGTTTATTTTTCATACCTAAGATTTTTCCCTGGTTGGTATTAGCATTATGGGCTTTTCTACACACCTTTTGCTATGTTAGCTGTAATCCTAATCAGCCGGTATTGGAAACAATCCAAGCATCCCTTGCAGTTATCGGGTTGTGTAGGCTCCAACTACAGAGCAATAACCCATCCTGTATAGCAGGGCTCGACAAATCCCAGGTCGCCATGGCAACTAGAAATTGTGGCCTGGCACCTCGGCTTTTGTCAGCCTCCTCTGCCGCCACGTCATCTCTGCTCCCCCTGTTCCCCTCCTCGTTGGGAGCCAGCTGCATGCTGCGATCTGTGTCCCCTTCGATCCCTGCTGCTCTCCCTGCCTGCATTCGCAGAGGCAGAGGGGAAACATATAGCGGCAGCTGGCGGGGAGGAGAGACCGCTGTCAGCTACTTTGCCCACCCCCCCTGTGCCTCCTCTTCCACTGGATGGGAGACTTGTCGCCGGTGGTAGGAAGCCAGCGACAAGTCTCCTATCCAGCGGCCAGGAACAATAACCATCCTGCTTTCTCCTTCAGGTCCCTTCTCTGCTGATTGACAGCAGGCATTGGGCGGGTGCAATAGCCAGCCTGTAGTGGCTATTGCACTTTAAAATAGCCAATAGCAGGCTGGCTGCTGTACTTGCATTCAGCTGCCTCAGCAAGCAGCTGTCATTCCCCAGCTAAAGCTATTGAAGTGGAAAGGTGACACTAGGAGTCTTAAGAGACCCCTAATGTCACCTTTTATAGAGAACCTGTCATCTCTAATGTGCTATCACATAGGGGGCATGTGAGAATATACTGTTCTGACCACAACAGTAACATGTGTACCAGTGACATATGAGGAGAGGATTCATAAGCTTAAGTGAACAAAGCAAGAATAAAAAAACAGAATGCATGTTTAACGTTCTAAAAGGGACCCCATAACCGTATGCAAAGTTTGAAGGTGTTATCAGTACACGGTAGCCATTGATAAAGGAAAAAACCGCTACATGCATGCCTTGGTAGTTCAACCGAACTCGTATAGTAGTAAAACAGAAGGCAAGGATAGTGTGTGGTCTATATGATTAGGTTGTAGAGCAGTGGTTCTCAAACTGTGGGTCGCAACCTACAGTTGAGGGGGTCCCCACGTGCCTTGTGCTGCTCTAGGTAAAAGGCTCCTCAGCCTCCTACTAGCCTGATAGTGTCAGTTCTCCTAGATGGCGCTGCAGCAGCGGCCAGAGAGGATCAGAGAGAGGGGAGCAGGCAGGAGTGAGGGGAGGTGAGTGATCACCAGAGAGCCCGCACTGGACGCCACCCAGAGAGTCCCACTAGCCACCCAGAGAGTCCCACTAGCCACCCAGAGAGTCCCACTAGCCACCCAGAGAGTCCCACTAGCCTCCCAGAGAGTCCCACTAGCCTCCCAGAGAGTCCCACTGGCCTCCCAGAGAGTCCCACTAGCCTCCCAGAGAGTCCCACTGGCCTCCCAGAGAGTCCCACTAGCCTCCCAGAGTGTCCCACTGGCCTCCCAGAGAGTCCCACTGGCCTCCCAGAGAGTCCCACTGGCCTCCCAGAGAGTCCCACTGGCCACCCAGAGAGTCCCACTGGCCACCCAGAGAGTCCCACTGGCCACCCAGAGAGTCCCACTGGCCACCCAGAGAGTCCCACTGGCCACCCAGAGAGTCCCACTGGCCGCCCAGAGAGTCCCACTGGCCACCCAGAGAGTCCCACTGGCCACCCAGAGAGTCCCACTGGCCACCCAGAGAGTCCCACTGGCCACCCAGAGAGTCCCACTGGCCACCCAGAGAGTCCCACTGGCCACCCAGAGAGTCCCACTGGCCACCCAGAGAGTCCCACTGGCCACCCAGAGAGTCCCACTGGCCACCCAGAGAGTCCCACTAGCCACCCAGAGAGTCCCACACAGATACTAGCATTGGTGCATCCCTAAATTTTACCTTTTGGGGGTCACCACAACCTGGCAAATGTTACCAAGGGGTCCCGGCCCTAGAAAGGTTGAGAACCACTGTTGTAGAGTATATGAAAGGTTGCTTTCAAGGGTTCAAACATGCTCCAGTCCCCCCAATCTTGGTAAGTTTAGCAGGGCCACCCCTGGCCTCGTATGTTGTTCTATAGAGGGGAAGGACAGCATTTCATCATGCATTAGTATCCAAGGGTGCGGTGTAAATCCAGTATTCTAATACCGTCTACCAGGAATAAAATGGAACTAGTCTCGGAAAGCTCTTTTGAGCATTTCTAAGACTTCTCTCCCCAGACACCCCTAATAGACACCACTTTGGATTTACAAATATTGGGAATGTAAAAGTTCTGTGAAATAAACTTCATAAGATGAGACCAAAATAACGCCAATCGTAGGGCAGTTCCTGAGCATATGTACAATATTCCCATCGGCCCCCCTGACACTGACGATATAAGGGGCTGGCTTGAGTCTTTGGCTGTCTATATATCTTTGGATGTACTAACCATTTTGTCCGGCAGTTTTCTGCTTCCAAGTGACGGTAACCTCTGCCTATGCTTGGGGTGGAAGCCCCGGGTATGGAAAGGTTTAGGCCCCGTTCACACTGAGCGATTTTATCGTGCGTTAATTCCCGCAATATCGCGGCTATTTACCGCGCGATATCGCTCTCCAATGCTTGGCAATGGGGCAAAGGGTCCTGCTGTCGCGGGTCGTGCGTCGCTACAGTTAGGACCCTTTTTTTGAGCGCATTTTGCCGCGATTCTATCTTGCTCAATGCAAGCATTTGCGCGATATCGTGCAAAATGCAAATCGCGCCGTGTGAATGGGGCCTTACTCTGAGCATATATGACACTTGCATATGACTTGGGTAGAAGGCGATCAATCGTCCGCGGCCTGCCGGTACAGTGCTTTAAAAAAACCGGGAGATGTTTTTATTTCATTGTGCGATCATCTCGGCACTGCGAACGTCTGGCCAAAGTGCGGCAAAATCCGACCAGCTCTGGCCAGCCGCTAGCGTCCTATGGAATGATTCTTGCTCTGTATCTCATCTCGCATGACTTCTTACCATTCCAGGAAGAGAAACGTCTCAAGGGAGAGGAGGAGCAGAAGAAGCTCTTGGAGCAGAGAGCTCAGTACGTGGAGAAGACAAAGAACCTCCTTCAGTTCACTGGGGAGATGGAGACCTCCAAAGAAAAGAAGCGCGGAGGAGGAGGAGGAAGGGTGAGTTCAAACTGCCTTGTTATGTGACCATTTTGTGAGCAGGGTCCATTGAAGATCTCATTTAGCAGTGTCGGTACACGTCAGTTTTTTTCTTAAAGGAGAACTGAGGCGAGTGAAAATCGCTCATCCTCATAGTTGGAGCCGACGTGTGACAATGAAAGTGTCACACGTCAGCTCAGTAGATTGGGAAGTGAGCGAACACATACCGTCACTCGCTCACTTCTCCATCTCTCTGCAAAGAGCTGTGACTGTCAGTCACGGCTCCCTGCAGGGATCACTCTCCGAGCCTCCAGCGCTGACTGGCGGAACGGACGGGGGAGGGGGGCGGGTACAGCTGGCTCTGCCTCTAGATAGGCAGAGCCAGCTGTCAGTCACGCAGCTGGGCGGATGTCGACAGTAATGTCGGGATCCGTCCCGGCTGCGGCGGTCTCGGTATACCGCAAGCTGTAGCTGGCGATACACTGAGCTTTGGGTGAACATATCAAAGTACACACCATCGCCGTGGTGATGGTGTGTACTTTAAAATGTTCACTTTAAGCCTGATGAAGGGGACCCTGTGTGGCCCCCGAAAGCGCTTGACTCTACTTTGAAGGACTTCTGACAAAAAATGGAGATTCACTAAAATCGACGTGTTTGTCATGCTGGAGTGCTGGTGACTTATCTTTACAACAAACTCTGCTTGATGCGGCGCCATCCGCGGTCATTGCGAGCACCCACTTTTGCTTATGGGAATTCCGGTAAGGTGTGCTACAGGACTTTGGACATTTATACTGAGCTTTGGGTGACGAGAGGACGTTGGTGTATAACCTCCCGTGACCCTTAGGAGAGCTATGGGGAAAAACACTGACCCCGTAGTTCTCCTTTTAACTATAACTCAACGTCTAATTTACCTGGCAAAATATATTTTTTATAAAATAGAAGGTTTTTATTCAGTACACTTTATTTTTAAAAAAATTTCATTTATAGGTAGAAATATATACAGAAAAAAAACCATACTTATTATAGAATCTATTAAATATATTTACACGTCTTT